AGGTGCGCCTCCTCGGTGTGCGCCTCATTCTTCACAAAAGTTAAATCAGCAAATTTCCACTGTTTTTTTCCGCACTGTTTTTTCTTTTTTTTTCGGATACCGCCGAGTACCCTCCGGGTCCTGTTTCTTTTTTTTTCGGTTCCTTTTGCAACCTTTGGGAGATTCGGTTCTCCATTCGCTGGCTGGGCTGGCCCCCATTATGATTGTTTGGCAAATTTTAATGATGCCATTGGGCTTAATGAAATTATTGTTAGTTCAGCAAACAAGAAAGCCTCCTTTTGGGCGGATAATGGCTCTGAATTGGATGGGCGGCAGGATGGCAGGATCTCTGGTGTGGGCTCTGAATTGAATATGCACATGACGTCCGTTTGGCTGGCTCATTTTGCACGCTTATTCCATATTGCTGATGCACTGGGAAAATAATAGTCGATTTGGGAGGTTTTTATGGATCATTATACCCTTGCAGGGTATTATAATTTTAGTCAAAAGTGTGTTTCATAGTGAAGGAGTCATTACCGACCCTATAAATCATATATATTCTTGATCAGCACAAAAAGCTGAGTCGATCTAGCCATGTTTTAGCAGAAAACAAATTTTTTATTTATTTATTTTTTTTTTTTTGAGGTCTTAAAATGATTCAATTGTCAAAGAAGAAATTGGCAAAAATTTCAATTTCTTAAAATGTGAAATTTAGTATGCAGTTTCGATACCCTGGAAAAAACTAGCACAGAAAAGCTTTCAGAATTGAATTTGATGCTTTTTTGGCTTAGTTATGATATTTTTTATACAAAAAATTACCATTTAAAATATATACAAATATTAATTTAAAGAGTGTGAATATTTTAGACCTTTCTGAGGGGTTTTATGATTTTAGTCAGCGAAGGAGTTATTACCGACCCTATAAATCATATATATTCTTGATCAGCACAAAAAGCTGAGTCGATCTAGCCATGTTTTAGCAGAAAACAAATTTTTTAATTTTTTTTTATTTTTGAGGTCTTAAAATGGTTCAATTGTCAAAGAAGAAATTGGCAAAAATTTCAATTTCTTAAAATGTGAAATTTAGTATGCAGTTTCGATACCCTGGAAAAAACTAGCACAGAAAAGCTTTCAGAATTGAATTTGATGCTTTTTTGGCTTAGTTATGATAGATTTTTGAATGAATGAACAGCAAGGGTATACAAATTTCGGCCTCCGGAAGTTAGTTTCCTTTCTTGTTTTTGTCTAATATTGCTTGCTTTAAACAAATTTAAAAGGACAAAGCTATGAATGAATAACTCTAAATTGTAAGAGCTTATATTCTGAGTAAACATGTTCCTCTAAATAAAAATTATTTCTACTTTCTTTTTAAAAACCATTTTTTTAAAGTCACTAGAGATTTAGGTAAATTATACCCTATCCTTTCTTTAAATTTTAAATGTTTTTTTATCTCTGTACCACGAGCGGCTTCCCATTCTTCCCTTTATTCGCTGTGTGAAATTTTATAACTGCGCGGGTCGAGCGAGGCGCTTGATGGCGGTTGGCAGGTGGCACACTCACCTCCCGCTTGACGTCACTGGCAAAAGCCAAATTGATGTTTAACTATTGATGCTCCTTGGCCCCGACTGGTATCTGGTATCTGGTATCTGACGCTGGCCTGGAGATTGCTTCCCAGCCCATCGCCTGCTTATATTTATCGTTATTGTATCGCAAAGCAACCCGACTCGCCACGATTCCTTGTGTTTGCCTCCTCGAATGGTCAATAATTCGGGGCGTGTCGGGCTAAATATCAAAATTTGATGGTTTTGTGATGTAAGAAGCTGGCGCTTATGCAAAGCTCTTGGGAATACTTAAACAGTGTAGTAAATATTAAATAATAGTTTTTTTGGTTATATATTTAATCAATATTCAATAACATTCTTTTGTGCAATTGAAGGCAGCTCTCTGTGGGATTATAAATTTATGAATGGGCTTATTGGTGCTTTGTATTCAGAATTGCAATTAGTTTTTTATGTTTAAACAAAAGCTAGAAAGCTAAAATATAACAATATTTAATAAATAAATAATTGAATGTGGATTTGTAAGTTGTTAACATCAAGTTTGAGTTTAGAATGCGATGAATATAAGTTAATATAAGTAAGGCTTTCTGCTTTTTCAATTCATATTTCATGTTTTCTATTTTTATTTACCTTTATTTTATTTTATAATCCTTAAATCCCTGGCTAATAGCATCTTAATTTATCAGTTTAATTGAAGCTATTAATACCTAGAACCATAAATTGTATTAATTCCTTGTTCAATATTTCCATCAATTGTAAATCGGATTTAATCTGGCTTAGTGCAGTGGGATTTCAGGATTTCAGGACTTTTGCCTGTCCAAGAGCTGGAATTTGTATAGAGGGGAGCTGGAGGGGGTTTGCTTTGGACTGTTGGAATGCTAGGATGCTGGGACACTGGGCTCCTCTGTCCTGGTCCCCATCCTACAGGGCAAACAAGCAGGCAACCAATATTCATGCTCCAATTGCAGGGAAAACAATGCCGGCGGAGTGTTTATATTTAGCAAACGCTGTAGGATACGGCCAGCGAAAAAGGAATGGGTAGTGGGTACCAAGGGATGCCAGGATTCGGAGCAGTGGGTGCTGGTGGGGGCGGTGACGGCGGCTAAATTTAATTCCAAAATGCATCAGCTCCCTTTTGTTTTTCCCCCAGGCCACTAGAGACTGCATCATCAGCAGATAACAGGAGCAAGTAGAAAATAAGACGAAAAAAAAGAAACGCCAGAGAAAATGAGTGCCAGACAAAGGAATCTGCTTGCCTTGTCACGACAAGGCTCTTGTGTCAAGTGGATGCTGTCCACCTAAGGACCTTTCTTGCCTCCCCCTTGGTTTAGCCCCATTTTCGACCCACTTCGACCCTCGTTAATCATGCGAATTATGCATGAAAGTGGAGTACTTAATTTCAATTGTCTAAACAACAAGCGATTGCGATGTGACCTACCAATACACTTGAAGAAAATTTTCTATTTACACTTGACTGCACTGGCGGGCGGCTTATTGGGTTGGCTTTGCTTGACTGGAGATACAGTGATGGCTATTGAAAGAGGCCACTTGGGAGGTTGAATGTTCGTAAGAGTGATTATTAGTTATACATTGTTTAGGGGGGAGCAAGGAAATACCTTAGCGTTGACATAAAATCTTTCGAAAAAGGTGTCTAAAATTATCGTATAATTTCGATTATAGTTACGTCCTTTGTATGATGGGGAAAAATATAAGTTTTTTGGCAAACAAAATGTGTAAATGCCTTTAAAAAATAATTGATTATGATTCAAATGTTTTAACTAAAGAAATACAGATAACATATTTAAATAATAAATTATAGTTTTAATATAATTATATTTTCTTGCTTACCTCGCAATACAGTTATACATTTTACCTTAAATTATTATTTTTAATAGATAGTTTGGCCATTATTCAATATTTTATTATTTAAAAAGTTCATAAAGCTTCTACAAGTAATAATTTCACCCTATCAGGCGTTCACTGTACACAAGAAGGATTGGCAACCGAAGATTGCATACTTATTAGGGCGACTGGGAGCGAATTTCCCTGCGCGCGTCGGGCTTTCGACTTTCTCTCTCTCTAAAGTCCTCGCTCACTCGCTCTCTCTGTTTTCGCCAAAATGTCCTTTCTCTTTCTTGCCTTTCACGCCTTTGTCAATTTGCAGCAACTTGTGCGCTCGTTTGACTTGGGTTAAATTGTTTGTGATTGTCGCAGCGATGTCTCTGTGTGGGTTACCGATTTCTCCAAGAGCGTGCCAGTGTATGTGTGTGTTGGTGTTCTGTGACAGAGTTGTCAGCTGTTCGGCCTGCATTTCTCTCGGTATCCCCGCGCCGCTCTCTCGCCTCTTTCCCATTATTACACAATTTATATATTTTTTTTAGGTGTGGTTTCTGCGGCGTCTGCAACCGGCCACGCCCAGTTCGCACCGCCCATCTCATGGCCACATCCTGGCAGACTTCTCTCTGTGTGTGGGTGGGTGTTCGTGTTAGTTGCTTCTTTTTAATCAATCATTATAAACTGCGAGATCAGCGCAGGGAGCGGAGAGCCATGGCGGCGGCTGTCGTTTGGCTTTGAAACTTTGCATTGCATAGTTTGCTGCGCCATGTAACTGTAATTGCAACTGGGACCTTGTTCCGCTTTGCTTCGTCCTTAAGGCTCCTGGGCTCCCCTCTGCGCTAATGCTTCTACGCGATGTCCTCCAATATTTTTACACGCTCCATTTGTGAAAGTTAAGGCGATGAACTGTGGGCGGGCAGCAGCAGCGGTGGGTAAATGGTAATGGGGTGGGGTGGGGTGTGTGGGTTGGGCTGGGGATTGGGGTTTTATATTAAGTGGAATTATTGAAAGTACTCGTTCAACAAGAACTGCCGTAAAGAGAAAAGTAATTCAAGTATTTTCCGGTGATTAATTTGCAACATTCAGGCAATCGACATATGGCGTGATTTTATTCTATAGCTTTAGGACATTTTTTACTTTTTTAAAGTAATTTGCAAGAATACTATTACTACTATAAAATCCTAGAAAAGGTAGATGGACTTAGGATTATAACTCGGATATTTTAATGTTCCGACGGATAGAAGATTGCTGTGCTTATCTGCGACTTTGTAGGCTTTGTTTTAGGACTTTAAAGTCCTGATAGCTCTATTATATAAAGCTTCGTAGTTTATTTTGGCTTAATTTAAATCATTTCAAGCTTAAAAATACATTATTTTAACTATTATTTGGCAGTTCTCCATAGCCATTCCAAGTAAGTAATTAAAACTAGCTCTTTTCAACAACAAAACTCGATTGAAACCAGTTGTTGGTTGCTGGCAAGGCAACTTTCAATTATTCTTGCAACAAGTTGCTGCCCACTTACAGTCCACTGTGCGCTGTGGCACCTCTACCCCCCGCTTTCCCCCCTTTGTGTGTGTGAGTGCGGTGACTTTGTGCTAATGAAAATAATGCTAATTAATCGCAGAAAGAAGTCAAGTGCCACGGAACTGTAAAAGAACAAAAAGAACGGAAAAATCAAATTAAATAAAAAAAGCCAAGAAAGTTACAAAATAATACAATTAAAAAACTAAACCCCGTCGCGAAAACCTACAAAGAACAAAGTATAAAATGGCCTGGGGCTATTGGTCAGCCACGACTGTGGATCGTGGGCGGTCGCCGCGCCGCCTCACGCAGTGTGCCCCGCTTCCGGTCAACATAGTGCAGCAGGAGGAGGAGGAGGAGCAGCCCTGCCTGCCCCAACAGCAACAGCAGCAGCAGCAACAATCTCAACAACAACAACAGTCACAGACCTGTCCCAGCACTCCTTCAGCAAATCAGCAGGGCAGCGGCAATCTTTGCTATAGCCCCACCTGCCGTTCACGCTGCTCGAGTCCTTGTCCAGGCTCACCGTGTGGCTCTATAACGCCGCCACCGCCGCCGCTGCTCACCTCCTCGCAGCAGCACCTGCACTCCAACAAGAATTGCCCGGCAGCCCAGCAACTGATGACACACCTGGACTATGCAGCGCGGAGACAATCACTCGACCAGCTGGACAGTCCACAGGTATTGGGATTTTCATGGTTTCCATTTCACCTAAAGTACATATGGTAGCTCTGCTTGATGATGAAGGGTTGAGGTTGGGAATTGAATCACTCAATGATGAGTGCTGGGAGCAGCCAAGTTTATCCAAATTTTTCGGACTCATACTGGTTTCCCAGTTTATGCATATATTTAGCAAACTGGTCAATTGATTTTCCATTATTCATTGTTGACAACCATTGAAGTTGAAGTTTATTAATAGATTTCAGGAGGTTGTTTTTATTTATTAACATTTTTAGATAATATTAATTAGGTAATTACTCCGAATTGTTAATTCTTAAAGAAAATGTTTTAAAACTATAGAAAATTAATGATGAGTAACTAGTTTTCTTCTAGCAAAGACTCTTATGTAAAAAGATTCACACATTTGAATGCTTATATTCAAGGGATTCATATTGTTGTCATATTGGTTTTTGTTTCTACATTCTTGAATGAGTTATAAATATTTTTCTGAGGCAATAGTACTCGTTATTCACTGATTAAGACTAAGAAATTGTAGTGAGGACATTAGTAATACCTTTGAATATTGAATGAATACTTAAGGAATACTCATGATAGATTTTCCATTTATATTTTGCAAAGATGAGCAATATATGAAAACCTAACTTGGATATTTTAAATTCATAAAAGTCAAGTGTATTTTCCAAGAAAAAATAATGCTCAGATCCCTGATAAAAACTAATACCCAAACTCATTCTCTTAATTTCAAGCAGAGTTATATACATGTACAAGTAGCTAAAAAGATACAGACCTAGCTAAGATCCCTAATTCTGACCTGGTTATCTATTCTGTCTGCTTCCCTCCCATTTTCAAACTTAATCCAGTCCAAGTACTTCGACATTCAGGCCAACCAGCTGTCGGACATCATGTGCCGCGGTGCGGTGGTCAGCTCCATTCAATCGGCGAACAACACGCTCACGCGCGGCGTATCGCTGCACAGTCGGAGTGGCAGTGCCCACGGCAGCCACCATGGGAGTCATCATGGAAGCCATCACAGTCACAGCCATCATGGCAGCGCCCACGGATCACTGGGCTGTTTGCAGGGCGGCGTGGGAGTGGGCGTGGCCACGGGCAGCACTGGCAGCATTGGGATGATGTCGGCGGGTCACATTGACACCGGGGACTATGATGTACCGCATCCGCATCCCTACACGCATCATTATATGCAAACGACGGCCTCGGTGACACCGCCGCATGCCACCTTGAGCAGGCCAGGATCAGCGGGAGCCGTCTGCCAGGGCCACGACTCGGGATCGGACTCGAGTCAGGGCTGCGGCGGTTCCATTATGGGCGGCATGCTGGTCATGGGCCATCCGGGACACATGGGCAGTCTGGGACACCACAGTGCCGGCAGCGGATCGCTGGGCAGGTGCTCGAGCAGGTGCCACAACACGAACACCACAACAACGGATGATTCAGGCGGTGGCAGTAGCGGTGGAGGAGGAATCCCAGGTGGGGGCACTGGCTCTATGTCCGTGGGAATGCCAGGCATGTTGATGGATTATCATCACAGTCATCACAGTGGCAGCGCCGGCAGCGGTCTTAATGGCTGCGGTGGAGGCGGAGGCAGCATAGCTGGCGGCAGTATTGGCGGAAGGAGCAGCGTTCTAGGCACCATCCATAATGGGCATGGGCATCATCATCAGCAGTATCATCATGAGTGCATCCATTACGAGAGGCTGCCCATACCAGTGCCCATACCCACGGTGCCCATGGGCGTGGCATCGCACCCGCAGCAGCAGCAGCAACAGCAGATGTCGCAGCATCAGTTGCAGTCGGAGGAGGAGATAGAGCCGGCCTATGCAACAGGTAAATGGGAAGAGGGTGCTTATTTCGAGTTTTAATATTTAGTTTTTGATTTGTAATTAAATTATATTATAAGTTTATTAATAAATATAAAGGCAATGGTTTGTTTATCTTTTCTTTTACTATATTGTGTAAATATTAAGTTGATTTTCTTGTTTTTATCATAAGAAAATTCGTTTTAAACGGTTGTCTTTTTAAGTTTTTAATTTAATATGATAAGTTATAAAATTAAGTAGTAGTAATTAGATTTTGTTTAAGATATATTTCTCGATAATTCATGGTTTACATTAATAATTTTGTTGTAAATGTGGGACTTTACCTCTTGGATCTAAAGACTTTCAAGTCTCAAGACAAGATATATCTCAGATTTTAATTATAGTTTAATAATATCAAAAGAAACATTAAACGTACTAAACTATTACCCAACTCAGATAGGCATATTCTTTTTCAATTAGAAATGGCCATGCATTTTGCTAATCTTTTTGAATTACTTGCAGCTTAATACGTTTAGTCAACCAATTTATGACCCAAAAAACAGACAGCGCATTATGTGCAATAAATTGGTGCTTATCCAAATTTATTAGTTCCAATAAATTATTGATTTTCCACGGCATGCGTTGTACTTAATTTTATGAAATTGCCAGCCCCCGATCTTATCGCCGGAGCCATTCGTCGCGCTCTCACTTGCTCTCAATTGGAGGAGGACGGTCGGACGGCAGTAATAATGTGACAATTCAATCGGCAATCGGCCACTTGAGGCTGCCTCGGTTTCTGTTCTGTTTCGCACTTGGTATTATTTTATTTTTCCCCCCTTCTTTATTGTTCTTTTGTTGTGCTCTTTTGGCATTTTGCCTATGCCTTTTCTTCCACTCGCCTCATTGCGGGCTCAGTTTGCAGTTGAAAGTCGCGCGGTGACGACGGCGACGCTTCGTGCGTTTATCGAGAGCGTTTTCCAAAGAGTATCTCAACTGGGTGACCTCTGAACTGGACCCAAAAACACACAACACACACACAACAACCCACAAGCAGGCATTACACCACAATGATCATCTGGAGCGGCTTCTGTGAGGCGGCCCAAATATACAGCACTCAAACCGCGACTTTTATGACCGGGGGACCATCGTGTTAGTATTGCAGTGAAAGAGGGGTCCCTCTCTTATTTAAATTGCCAATTAATTAATGTGGATGCCATGTAGATTGGCCACAGGCTGCACTGTTTAACTAGAACGGGTTTAAAGTGGAGTTTTTAAGCAGAAATAGTGACTAAGAAGGGTTTATTATAATAGATATTTTGTAAATTTAGCAAGAAAGTTAAGTTTAACTAAGCTTTTATCAGTAAATAACTACAAAAATGTAAATTTAGAAACACAATTAATATTGAAAGAAGCTTAGAATTACAAATCCTTAATCCTTAAAAGCAAAAAGGTTGAAAAAACAAGTCCTATTCAGTGAAATGTGCATTAAAAATTACAAAAAATGTATGAAATTATAGGAAAAAGATTCCTTACAACTAAGGATTACATAGGACAAAAAATGTATTCTCTGCATTAGGGATTATTAATGCAACTTTGTCCTTAGAAATTCTTCTTGAATTTTGTTAACAAAATGTAAAAAAAAACTGAACTTACACACAAAGTGTAGAATATAATACTTTCCCTTGCGCGCCAAAAGTATTGGTAAAACAAAATCTATACAAAGAATGGGAAGCACTGTCTTTAGTGCCTATTTTCACATAGAAAAAATACAAATTATGGTAATAAAATTAATGACTCTGCAGAGCAAGTCTAAAATCTAGTTTCAAGCTATAATCTTTGCCTTCCGCCACGACCTTCTACACACTCAGCGCCCTTCTTTATGACTAATAATGCATATCGGGCTTTTGTTTTCTAGCCAATCCCCCCGCACATTCAGCCACTAACTGTTATTCCCCATGGCCTCTCCTAGTCACTCTATAAATTTCTGCTCGCCTCGTTATCTTGCTGTTGTGGCAAGGCATTTACGAGCCGAGAAAGAAATACAAACCGCCGGGCCAAACAAGAATTGCAAAAGCAAAAACCAGAGCAGAGTGTGCAGTCTAAACAAATCGGGCAGAGGGCCTATCACAAATTGATAAGGAGGAACGCTCCGTGGGGAAATACGAGGTGTATATATAGAGCTAGTGTTCTGAATTCTAGGTCAATGTGTGTGAAACCTAGTGATAACCTTGCGGACGGACAGGCAGAATTATTGAACCCTAGGTTCTCCTGGGGCGACACTTTAATTGAATTATGAATGAGCGATGAGCTGGCTGACTGACTGACGGGCAGACAGACTGCGGCAGTGTACATCTGATAGCCGAACAATTGGTCTCAATTGATGGCACTGCTGCTGCTGTCCCGGAAAAGCTTAATTAACATTGAGAGAGAGAGGGAAATCTCTTCTCCCCCAGCTCTTCTTATCGCTACATTGCTCTTTATTCTCTCCACATGGTGCGTGGCGCAGCGCAGAGATAAGAGTCCCCACCAGTGTTTGGCAATCGCATTTGGAGTCCCCCGGAACCGGCTCAGTTGCCTAGTGGGCGCTGACATGTTAACAAGCCCCAGCAGAGAGACACCAGCGCATTCAGTTAATGTGGCTCGGCAAGAATCCGTTTATAAGTAAAAAAAACAATCACATTAAATTGATAAGCGACCCGCGGCAGGGAAAGAGATTTACCCGATGGGCAAACTAGCCTGCCGTAAGCATGCCCTGCAATTATTCCCCCAACACAATGACAATATTAACAAATTCCAGACGTGCTTTATGTACTCTATAGCTTATTATATTCAGTGCTGTATATTAAATCCTTAAATAATTGTTCTTTTGTGTCTTTTCTTTGCAGTATTCCCCAATGTTCCTCAAGCGCCGGGATTGTCCTGTGATGGAGAAGATCGTAAGTGTTTAGCAAAATTAAATAAAATATATCTATATATTAAATAATTGGAAATATATTGATTTCATCAGTTCTAAAGGGAGTGTTAGGTGTTCTTAAAAAACAATATTTTAGAATGTTGTTGTTTTCCCTTGATTTCCATTACTTATTTGTACTCAATATAGCTTTTGTTTTGTCTGAAGACAATCCGTACAATGAACTTTGCTTTATAAAGTTCTAGGAAAGATAACTATTTCATATTGATTCATCATATTTACTGATTCATTTTAGTATTATTAATAGCTAGTAAATATTAAAACAGCCGGAAATAAACAAACTTCAAAGCCAGATCAGACTTTAGTTTTTTTCTGGCTGTAATACGGATTCTACAGATTGCCTTAAATATTTACTTGTAATTTTTAAATTCCTCGAAATATATTCTACATAAAAATGTATAAAATATATATGTGTATGTATCTCTTCAAATAAGAAATTCAATTTGTATTTTTTCCCAGAAAGTAATAACAATCTTATCAATTTAATTTATGTTTCTTAATAAATTCAAATTATTTATAATTTAAAATACAAGCCTCATCTAATCTTGATTTATTTTTCAGGCAGCATCTATCGACGCGGTGCTCGACGCTGGCGCAAGTTGTATCGCGTCAACGGACACATCTTCCAGGCCAAGCGTTTCAATCGGGTGAGTCTCTAATCCCTCCCCAAAATCTCTACAAAACTAACTTTTATATATTCCCCATCTTTTCAGCGTGCTTTCTGTGCCTACTGCCAGGATAGGATTTGGGGCCTGGGCCGTCAGGGTTTCAAGTGCATCCAGTGCAAGCTGCTGGTGCACAAGAAGTGCCATAAGCTAGTGCAGAAGCACTGCACTGACCAGCCGGAGCCGCTGGTCAAGGAGCGAGCCGAGGAATCCAGCGATCCCATGCCCGTGCCGCTGCCTCCGTTGCCCTACGAGGCAATGGGCGTTGGAGCAGATGCCTGTGAGACGCACGATCATGCGCATATAGTGGCGCCACCGCCGCCAGAGGATCCTTTGGAGCCGGGCACCCAGCGCCAGTACTCGCTGAACGACTTTGAGCTGATACGGGTCATTGGACGCGGCAGCTATGCCAAGGTGCTGATGGTGGAACTGCGACGCACTCGACGCATCTATGCCATGAAGGTGATTAAGAAGGCTCTGGTTACCGACGACGAGGACATTGATTGGGTGCAGACGGAAAAGCATGTGTTTGAGACGGCCTCGAATCATCCGTTTTTGGTGGGGCTGCACTCGTGCTTCCAGACACCCTCCCGGCTCTTCTTCGTCATTGAGTTTGTGCGCGGCGGGGATTTGATGTACCACATGCAGCGGCAGAGGCGGCTGCCCGAGGAGCATGCCCGCTTCTATGCGGCGGAGATCAGTCTGGCTTTGAACTTCCTCCACGAGAAGGGCATCATCTATCGCGATCTGAAGCTGGACAATGTTTTGCTTGACCATGAAGGCCACATCAAGCTGACGGATTATGGCATGTGCAAGGAGGGCATACGGTCGGGTGATACCACCTCCACGTTTTGTGGAACACCCAATTATATAGCCCCGGAGATCCTAAGGGGCGAGGACTATGGCTTCTCGGTGGACTGGTGGGCTTTGGGTGTCTTGCTGTACGAGATGTTGGCTGGACGCAGTCCGTTTGATCTGGCTGGAGCCTCTGAGAATCCCGATCAGGTGGGTAACTCTCTCCTTTTCTTTAGAATATTTGTGAAATATTTGTTTCTTTTTTTAAGAACACTGAGGACTATCTGTTCCAAGTGATCCTGGAGAAGACCATTCGCATACCCCGCTCTCTAAGCGTTCGAGCGGCCTCTGTTTTGAAGGGTTTCCTCAACAAGAATCCCGCTGATCGTTTGGGCTGCCATCGTGAGTCTGCCTTTATGGATATTGTCAGTCATCCGTTCTTTAAGAATATGGATTGGGAATTGGTGAGTCTAAAGCCGGTTTACCTGGTGTTTGCTCTGTGTTTGTGTGTGCTGCTAAGGCACTTGTTTGTGATGATGATAAGGAAGATTATAGAGAAGTTTATGGGGAAATTGTGAAATAAAGAAGGTATCTAAAAGATTTAAGTAACATTTATAGAGATTAAATTCACGATTTAAACATAGGTCAGTTCCAAAGTAACTTGCTTACAGTCTTTATGTTAAGGTATTGCTTTTAATTACAAATCAAGTTGGAGATAAAATTGGCTATCGCTGTTGAGTAGCCTCCACCCTTATCTTGGACCTTAATTGATATCTATTATTACGTGTATGCGCGTTAAAGATAGCACAAAAGGAGGTGCAACCGCCTTATATACCCAACCTAGACACCGGCGATCCCTATGTGACAAGCAACTTTGATGTGCAATTCACCCAAGAGCCGGCTGAGCTAACGCCAGACGATCCGTAAGTGGTATATATAGCGTTAAATCAACCCGAAAGATGGCAAGTTGTGTTAGTTATTGTTTGATTCCTTGCATGAAAGTTTCACAACCCTTAGAGAGCTCGTCCAAAGCAGGTAATTGTTCGTATCAATCAGACGCATCTCCCTGCCATTGAACCCACCCCTCTCTCTATATATCTGTCTTTAACCGAAAAGAATTCACTCTTAAAACGATTTGTATCATCATCATGATCATATAAAGCTCAAGCGCCACACCAGAGAAAAAAGAAATACTTTTATGTTTGCCCCAATTGGCTGGGAGTTTTTCTTCTTCCTAATCGAGTTTATGATTTTCTACTATTATCCCCCTCATGCACAACCAAAAAATCGATAAATCGCAATCACGCAGCTTGAGCGCAAACAGGTCACGCCACCATTTAAGCCACGCCTAGACTCAGATCGCGATCTGGCCAATTTCCCGCCCGAGTTCACCGGCGAGGCCGTGCAGTTGACCCCGGATGATGAGTAAGTTTTCACATTTTCATTTTAAATTCCTTACAAATCTAGATTTTTACTGTACATGGATTAATATATGTGATTTTTCCTTGATTTTCTCAGTCATGTGATCGATAATATCGATCAATCCGAGTTCGAGGGCTTCGAGTATGTAAACCCCTTGCTGATGTCGCTGGAGGATTGCGTCTGACACCACGAAATGTGTGACTTGCATCCGTATAATATGCGGGTAAGTGTAAAGTAAAGATTGTTTAGCAATTTATTAATATTTCTTTAAATATACAACAGCTCTATGGCGAGGATTCCAGTGATTACGATTCCGTGGCTGATGACCTGAGCCTCCTGCATTTGAACAGCGCAGCGGGGGGAGCTGGTGGATCAGTCAATAGCAATAACAATCTCAGCCAGCAGCAACATTATCGCCAGCAGCAGCAGCAATATCATCCCTACTCGCAGCAGCAGCAATTACAGCAACTCCAGCAGCAGCAGCAGCAGCAACAGCAGCCACCACAACTTCATCATAATGGTAACAATAACATTCATAATAATCAAATGCAAGCAAATAATAATAAAAGTCTACTGCAGCACATGTTTTGCCTTCCATTGAACTAATTAAAATAACAAATTAGATAAAAGAAAACCCCAAAACGACCCCAAAGCCACACAGCAACAACAGCAAATAGTAGCAGAGCAACAGAATGAGAAAATTAATAACAATTTCGTAACTTACCAGTTATAAATACAAGTAACATATACTCTCCTCTCAACCAGCAGCAGCAGACACGAAGACGAAGACTTAGGCAAAGTAGTAATATATTTATTATATATATGTACGTAACAGTCACAAGTTGCAAGTATTACACTATAAAAGGACATAAAACGATTACTTTACTACTTAAGCACCTAGGCAGCCAGGCAGCAAACAGATAAAGAAACCATTTCATAACTCAATGCAAGACTTTTCACCGCGAGGAGGGAACTTTAGGGAGATGGAGGAAGAAATGCAACAAGAACTTTTTAAGCTAACATCATACGAAATATATAATTTTTAAACGTTTAAATAATACTAACAAACAGACATTTCAAGTTTAGTTTAACAGGAGCAGGAGGACTATATATTTCAAGTGAATCAATCTATCTAATATCTAAGCATATATAAAGAAATCTAAAATGTAAAATGTGTGTGTGTTGTAGAGCTGAGAGAAAATCGGTTTCGTAAAGATATTTATCGATCTTTTGGAGAAAAGAAAAACGATTAACTTTTCAAATTCAAATTTGTTCTAAACTAAAAAGAGTTTATGTTCAAATAAATTATAGACTCTTTCAAAACCGATAAAAAATCGATAGTAACGATATTGAAATCGATTTTATCCCAACTCTAGTGTGTTAGTATTAGAGAGAAAGGAGGAGAAAGTTTTTAAAAGCGACGGAACTGCAATAGTTGAACGATAAAACAGAATACTAAAATACTGACAGACATTGTAATTCCCTAATTCTAATTTTTACACACTGAGAGAAAAAGAGTTAACCGGATTCAGGAAAGAATTCCCTTCAAATGCGAACAAAGACAACTTATTTATTTATTGTATTCCCTTTTGTATTATTTATTTATAACAAAAAAACAAAGCAAGCAAACACAATCCGTCTACTGGCAATATATATATCTACTTATATATATCTGTATCTTTGTTAAGTATTAAAGAAACCTTTGTTTTTCTTAATGCATTCCACTGTACTTACAAAAAACATATAATTTAAAAAAATAATGAATAATATTAAAATATTTACAATTTTTTTTGTGGGTCGAAAAAAAGGATAATCAAAATGCAAATTCGTTTTGTTCAATCTGTTTTTTAGCCTAATCCCCTAGATATATATATATATGTAATAATATACACTTGAAAACTTAAACTCAACTCAAATTGTACGTTATGTTTTACGAATATTGTGAAATTCATTAAAATTAGAGTATATCCGAGGATAATATCATTGTCATTCTGTTGCAAAAGTAAACGTTTTAAATTGAAACAAGAGATGGCGAGAAATCTTAACTCAAATGTTACTTGTTAATTGTATGAAAAGCAACAAAAATTAAGCGCATATTGTTATAATTCCAAATACAACGCAATCTAAACAAAGTAATATATATATACAAACATTGATCAAACCGAGTTTTTGATTAAAAACAGAAAATAGAAATCAATTTGAAATTGCACTTGACGATTTACCAAGCTCTTCGATTCGATTCTTTAGCTCTAACCCATTGATTTTGTTGTGTTGTGTTTGAATAAAACCGAGTTCTATGCGTAAGTTTAATTAGTATTTAAAGAGACCTTAATATCCTTTTTGATTGTATGTTTTTCCGTCTAATTTTTACACGAAACTGAATGCACTTTTTGGCATACATAAACGATGCTAGCAAAATGTCAAAATAATGAATTGGAAAACGCAGAACGATAGAGTTGCGTTTACAACAATTATGCATATAAACAAACGAATAAAGTATTGTATAAGAACAAACTCTTTGTTTTTTTATTAATTTATAAACTCTTTTTAAAAGGTTTTATTAACAAAACGTATATCTCGTAGGGGGAAAAGTTAACAAATGCCTGAGAGGGGGAGGCCTCCCTTCATCAGTTGGTCTGCAGTATGGAGACCGGCTCTTGCATAATCTCTTGTATCTTCGCCTCCGGAACTGCCACCCCATTGGCCAGCAGAGTGTGAACAATGCCATCATGTTTATTGCCACTTGAGCGTGCCTGGAGCACGAATTCCGTGTCCTGTAGCAGGAACTTGGTGTCTGTGCCGCCGTGAACGAAAACTGACTGCGGGAATGGGCATAATAAAGTGGGACTATAAAGTAGGGATAGTAAGTGGCGGGGCTAGAGGCTCACCTCCTCGGTTCGCAGCTCATCGTTGACGAAGAGACTCAGCGTGTCCAGTTTAAGCATTATCCTGTATTCCTGCGCCGCCCCCGTCGTTGTCGTCGCCTCCGCATCTGCCGCATTGCCTGTGTAGAGCCACAGTCGATATTGCCTTGTCATCTCGTCTGTGTATAGTTCGTGTGACTTGCCATCAATGTACAGTGAGTATTCGTACTTAAACCCCGGCGCCGGATCCACGCGTATAATGCAGCGGGTCTGATCGATGTGAAAGGTGTCCTCGCCAACCAGTTTGAACATCCAGTCGCGACGAAGGACCTCCTAGGGCAGTCAAGTAATGAAAAGGGAAAGATGTTTTAGGAAAACAATAATTTGTTGAAATGTTTCCAGTTTATGACCGTAATCCTTCTGCCAAAGGACAACAGCTCATGGAAGGCCAAATAATAAAAGTAATTCACTTCACAGTACACGTACGAGAACGCGACCCTGTAATTAAGTTTGCCTTCCACAATGCAAATTCCTCAACAGCTCAACACAGCCAACCGAACGACCGAAACCCACTTGCCGCCGCCCAAAGAACTGGGAAACTTACCCGTCCGTTGACCCAAATCATGCGCCGCCCACTGGTGGTGCCGTGTTCCAGCTCGATGCGGTACATCTAAGCAAAAACAACACAAAAAAAGAAATGGGTTGGGGGGACAATTATCGCAATTTTCCATCAATTTGAGTTGCGGTTTCGGAAAACACTCCATCATCGGGGGTTGCCACAGAAACTAAGGACGATTTCAAACCAAAAGTATGCCATGATTGTAGATTATTTAATCATAGCATACATTTTGACTCTTGTTTAAAGTGTTTTCAAATCCTTACTTCGACTTTACCTTGCCATTGATGGGCACACACCATTGGGCCACTATGTTCTGCTTGTTATAACGCTGGTCCTCCGGCACATGATCCTGCGTCATGATGGGCTGCGTGGATAGATTCTCCAGGCGCAGCGTGGGCGAGAGAAAGGACATGTGTCTAGCAGGACACTGGCCCGCCCACCCGTCGATCCGCCGACAAAACAATCAATAATTCCTATTAATATTAATGGTAATCACATTTCAAATGCAAACACCTCTTGAGACACCCTTACACAATCCTTTGGAGAGAAGTTCAAGGACCTCGTTGTTTTCGGAGGCAACTTGTGCAACCTGCAGATCTAGTGGGAAAGCACCTTCCCAGAGTTTATACCGTTCCTTGTGGCAGCGGCGACAAAACCGCAAGAGCGAACCGCACGTTGTTAGCGCCAATGGCACACTAAACAACACAAACCCGTACAGTAAAAGTCAAAGGAGGAACTGAAGAAAAACTAGTTGGCCTGGCCTGCCTTTGCTTTGGCTTTTGGCCTGGCTTTAGCTCTGCCTCTGCCACAGCTACTACTGCCTCTGGCCGAGTCGCGGTCGCGTTTGTCGGTCTGCCAAAGGCAAGCCAAAGTGCAGAGCAACTACGCCGCATGGCGCCAAAACAGAGTTGATTTGTTTCCACTAGCCGTGCGTGTGTGCTCCGGGTATGAGTGTGTGAACAGGGGAAGTTCCCTAGGGTGGACAATAAATTTCCGAGTAAATATCCTTAATTCCTGGGCTTACTAATTGGTAATTACACTCTTTTGAAGGGCTTAAAGTGAGGTTTTAATAAATACGGGGCAGAAAAGGTTACATATGTAATGGAATTTTCCTAGATAAACTTTGTAGGTTTTTGGTTATATTTTGCATATAAATAATTATAACAGCTTTTCCCTATTCTTTTGATTTAAAATACATTTAGAAAATGTCTATAAATATGTTATAAAATATTTTAGGGGTAACATTTTCTGGCAAATAACATTTTAGGTGATACAAACATTTTTTTTATTAAACCTTTTGGGTTATCCTTATTTTAGTCAAAAGCTTTTTAGGCAGTGAAGAAGTCATTTCCCACCCTATAAATCATATATATTCTTGATCAGCATCAACAGCCGAGTCAATCTGGGCATGCCTGAGAGAAAAAAAAATTTCAAAATTTTTAAAAATTTTATAAGGGGTTACATCATTATAATTTTCAAAAATTAAAATAAAATTTGAATTTCTAGAAATTTTAAATTCAGTATGCAGATTTGTTAACTTAATAAAAACTAGTATAGAAAAGCTTTCAGATATGAAATTAATTGATTTTTGGCAAAGTTATGATCGATTTTCTTGGTCAAACAGCAACTTCAAGGGTATACAAAATTTAGTTTTAAAAAAAACAGCTTTATATCTGGTTTAATATAAAATTCTGATTTTAAAAACCAAAGTTTATCCTTTTAACATTTATTATTTATCATTTAATATTGAATTTAACTAGAAATATGGCTGTAAATACTTTTTAAATAGTCAAAGAAAGATGGTATTCAAAATTACGTAGCCGCCTAGTGGGACAGTCAATAAAATAAATTATGCTTCTTATTATACACATATTTCTAAGGAAAAAATGAGCATTTATCTACTGAATTCAACTCGGAATATGGCAACAAAAACTTATTAATAGTCAAAGAAAGATAGTATACAAAATTACGTATCCGCTTAGTTGGACAGCCAACTCAATAAATGAAACCCTTTATAATATAGGTATTTCAAAGGGTTAAAACCTAATTTCTCCGCCCAGGAGCCTCCACTGTATAGAGCTTTTACCGCGGCCACTTCTCGATACACCCCACTACCAGTGTCGTCGCTCGCATAAAAATAAACTTTGCCCCGTCAAGTATGCAATTGTTTTTGCATTGCACCGAGTCGAGGTTCGAAGGGGCTCCTGCTCTCTGGTTATAGCCTCGAGCCTCCAATTGAGCGTAAGCCAAAACAATATTCGTGCATACATATTTTATTCTGGATGACAATTATTTGGCCCAAGGGGATAAGACTCCACTGTGGCCATGGTGGTGCCAGTGCCAGGCCTCTCCTCTTGCCACATCTTGGTGGCAATCATCGGCGCAAATTTGTCGCATTTTGTTTTGTTGTCATGTTTATGGCGCAACATTTTCTGGCCATAAATACACGCCGAAAATGCTAATGACCGATTGGGTGGCTGGCCCTAGTGGCGGTGATTCTTGGTTGCCAGTGCCAGTGCCAGCACATGCCACCAAGACGTGGAAGACTTTCTGCCTCCGGGCGGCATTTCAATCGACCAGAAGCGATATTGATAAATGTATTTGGGCCAGCTTGGATAAGGAGTCGACACCGAGAAACGGGCACATCATATGTCAAATCAAGTTCCTCGGGACCCAGCCTTTTGAGTGAACCACCCGAGTGGGTGGCTCTGGGAAAACATATGCCAGCGCGCCATCAGAGTCCCAACACGCGAAGGTCACTGACAAAGCGCCGTTTGAAGTCGCTTACAGTTTTAGTTGATGTTGACGCGATATCAAAAGGGGGGGTTGGGGTTGGGTTGGCTTGTTGGTCTTTTTTTTTCCAGCTTTGTGTGTGTGTGCTGGGGTGTAAAAAGAAAGCAGCCACAGCAGCAACAACAAGAACAACAACAATGGCAGATAACGAAACATTTGACAAGGACAAGGGTGCCCCGTCGCCCCATCAAAACTCCCCTTTCGGCACGAAGCTCCCCAGCGGCAATGGCAGCAGCGCAGCAGTTGTGTTAGTGTAATTATTAGTGCCGTACAAAATAAATATGTACGTTTGTATATGCACACACAAACATCCTTTTTTTCGAAGCTCTAGCTGGTAGACCCTTAGCCAAGGGGACTATGGGACTTGAAGAGTAATGCTAACTTTATATCTTAGATTTCAAACAAGAGAAGGTCATTCCTTATTCTTAGTTATATAATAAACAATATCTCAATATAAATAACAGAGAAAAATCTCCTTCTAAATCTACAAACCATTTAATTTCCCTAGTTTTAGTTCTATAATGTAAATAATTTTTTTATAAATACCTTAATTTCCTGCAAAACCACTGCAAATTTCTCCTTTTAAGCCCATTGTCCTTGGCTGCGCTTTTTACGTTGCCTACTTTCCAGTTGAATTTATGGACCATTCCGCTCGGTTGTACACTTTTTATGCAAATATACGACCAAAAGTGCCGCAACAGACAACATTCGCTGACGCTGTCGCTGTTGCTGATGATGTTGTAGTGTGTACTCCGGGGGGGAAGGGAGCAGGACATGGCTTTGGATTGCGTGCTTAGCGCTGGTGTCGGCCGGCTGGCACACTACAAATGTCGCCAGCAATTAATTTCCATAGATAATTGCCCTTTTCGATAACGACAGTGGCATTAATCAAATGCTGGCTGGCCTGGCCGGCTGTTGACTAGAGATGGTTTCTCGTTACTGTTTTTGTACCCTTAGACTAGAGATTTAATCAAAAACTATGGCGAAATGACAAAGTGAAAGTTGTATTTCCAGTGATTTGTTGTAACGCTCTTAAATCAGATTGAATTGGCAAAATGTGTGTGTGCTTAGCTCTCTTTTGTTCCTCGATAATGTATGTAATATGCCTATGTACTATATAAACGTTATGAATAAATATACATAGATGTGTGTGTGTGCTCAACTTTTGAATAGATTCCATTTTACATGTGACTTTTTAACGAGCTAAATAATAATACTGATCACAACAAACGCCAATAGTGTGTGAGAGTTCAGTTTGCTTCAACAGTTGCCGGTGAAAATAATGATGCGTTACAATAATAAATATGTGGAGTTTTTACGTATAAATACAATGTGTTAATATACTATATAGACTTGGTATTGCTGCCCCCGTATAACAACAACAACAACTAACATAAACAGCAAATATCGTTTCGTAATCAAGTAATTGATCTACACAATATGATTTTGGGAACAAATTTGAACAACGCTGGGCGTAAAATAGGCGCTAGTTGTAGGTAATTTGTCAGATTATCTTTTCGTATAATAAGAGTGCGTTATGTATGTATAATACCCTATAATCGACGCTAATTGCACTATTTAATATGTAGGTAAATATATTATGCTGTTACACTGGCGGTCGGAATAAGTGTGTCGAGATATTCAAGTGTCTAAGCTACGCCTTGTGATTATTGATATACGTAATATTGCCTGGCTTTGCTAATGTTTAACTTAACTATTTACATAAAATACCAATTAAATACTGAGTAATCAAGGGGATACGTAGATAAATAATAGTTTTAAAGCCAAATCATATATAAATGCACTTTGTTCAATTCAAATCGATGGAGAATACTTGTTCAGGAGGACTATAAACTACGAATTTTGGCCATATTGCGATATTATATTCTTCTATGGAGATAATGGCAGTTTGGATTCATCTATCTATCTAATATATAGACCGCCAGTGCGGTGGAGAATTATGAACTAACAAGATGATAGATCCGAGGAGAGCGATGCTTATTATTGGAGAAATGCGGCGTTAGAAAAATGCACAAAAAGTCTTCGGTCTCGGGTTTGGGGGGGGATCAATATCTTCATTAATATCTTCATCATTTCCTCGACAGCATTATGTTCATAACGGTGCCGCTGTTGTGCAGCACACGCTTGGCATCGTTTAAATTGGCATTGGTCAGGTCGTAGCCATCGATTTCCAGCAGCTTATCGTTGAGGCTCAGCAGGCGGGCGGCATTTGTGTTCGGCGTTATGGAGCTCACAAAGATGCCAACCTGTAAAAAGAAGAAAACATAAATTATACATCAAAGTTTAGTTATTATTACAAGTAAAACTCACCTGATTGAGCAGCTCGGCTATGTCAAAGCCTATGCTGTGCTCCCACTTCAGAGTAACCTGCTTGACCGTGGGATTCTTGTGAACGCCAAAGATCCAGGTGGACTTCTTATTGTGGCTCGCCTTGGAAGTATTGTTGGTGGCCGTGGAGTTTAGGGAATGCTGCGACAAGGAGTCATCCAGCTCCTCCTCCTGATCCTCTTCCTCCCCCGCCGCCACCTGCTTGGGCTCCACATGGTTGTTGCTAATATTATTTTGATAGTCCAGCAGCTCATCCTCGTCCACATTCTGCTCGACTTCCTGGGCACCAATTGCAGTGGTCTTAAAGTTACTGTTCAAAGCATCCTGGTAGATGGTTTGCTCCTGCAATTGTTGCTGCTGCTTGCGCTGCCGCATGGACTCGTACAGATTGAGATCCTCGGGCGTTTTCTTGGTATACACCCGAGCTATGTGATAGGGCGGTGGCTCCAAACGCGGCGGAGGCGCCGCCGGCTGTTGCTGCAGCGGCTGCAGTTCGTAGTCCTGATCCCCGTTTAAATGCGTGGTGGGCAGCGGCGTATTGGCCTCCACATAGAGCTGCTGGTAATGCGCCTCGTAGTTGACCAAAGGCAGGCCGTAATACTCCTGCGTGGGCACTGGATGCGCCATTGGATGCTGCGCCTGCTGATAGACACCGTAAATGTGGGTTGCATCCGGCGCTATGCCATATATTGCACTTGCTGTGGCCTGGTCCACCACATCCTGGTTGGCATTGCTGCTATCACAGTGAACTTGGCCGTTGGCCACCACTCGGGCCTCCCTCACCTCGCTGGTGGCATTGGCCGACGTGCTCGCCGCCTGAGCCTGCCTCACGTACTTGGCCATTTGTCGCAGCTCCTTGGGATATGGCGTGGGCGAACGCATCAGCCGCACGGCCGACGATCCCGCCATCTGATCGGGCGTGGGTGTGGGCGGAGCAGCTGCCACATAGCTGGGATAGCTGGGCGCCGGCTGTGGTTTTGCGGCATTGCTCAAGATGGTGGCCTCCTCCGCAAAGCAAATCCTGCGCGATGGGCTCACATGCGGCGGCTGCTGCTGGTTGGCATACACAAACTCGTACTGCTCCTGGGCCTGCTGCTGCGCCTGCATGCTGTTCATCTTGAAAGTCACCTGCGGCAGCATGAAGCAGGTCAGCTGGGTCTTTGTGCTGGCATCCAGATATTGCAGGGGCACCAAAGGCTGCGACTGGTTGTCGCTCAGCCACAGCGAAGTGAGATTCACCAGATTTAGCATGGACACCGGCAAGGCATTTATGTAGTTATTGACCACATTCAGCACCCGTAGCTTGCCCAGATTTCCTATGTTGTGCGGCAGGGCGGACAACTGATTATTGGCCACACTCAGCACGCTTAGCTGCTGGCAGCTGCACAGCTCATCGGGCAGCTGGCGCAGTTGATTGTCGTCCGCAAAGAGAAAGCGCAGACTGCGCAGCATGCCAATCGTGCTGGGCAGACGGATCAGCTTGTTGTGGCTCAGCACCAGCTCCTCCAGCTGCTCCAGATAGCTGATGCTGTCGGGCAGCTCTGTCAATCCATTGGACTCGCACTTGAAGGTGACCAGAGACTTGAGCATGCCCACGCTGAAGGGAAAGGCCTCCAGGCTATTAGAGCAGATGGACAGCACCTCCACATTGCGCCAGTTGCTCAGCTCGCTGGGCAAGGTGTCCAGTAGATTGCCATTGGCCTCAAAGTGCTGCAGGTCGCGCAGCTTGCCAATGTTTGGCGAAACGCGGCGTATTTGATTGAAATCGATCCAGAGCTCCCGCAGGGACTTGAGCTCGCCAACGACTTCGGGCTGGAAAGGAATTTAGAGCTTGTAAAGGCCAGGATTTGTCTCAAAATATATACTCACCAGCTCTGTAAACTCATTGCCACCAATGTCCAGCCGCTGGAGGTTCACCAAGCGCACCATGGACTTGGGCAAGGTGATGAGATTGTTCAGGCGCAACTCTAGGATCCTCAAATTAACCAAGCGACCGAAATTGGCCGGAAGAAACTCGAGGTAGGTCTCATTCAGCAGCAGCTCTTGCAGGGATATGAGAGAGGTGATGGCATCGGGAAGACGTTGCAGGCTATTGCAGCTCAGATCCAGGTGGGTTAAGTGCTTGCACGACTTGATCTCCTCGGGAACACTGACAATCACTGGAAAAAACATAGATTATACTGACTGGTAAGGTTTAAACTTGGGGATAAACTCACAATTCCTGTTGAGATCCAGATGCTGGAGCTGGCGCAGACTGCCTATGGCCTGGGGTATGTTCTCCAGATTGTTGCTATTGACATGAAGCACCCTCAGTCCCTGGCAGTAAAACAATTGCGGCGGCAGAGCTTGCAGCTGTCGGAGCGATAAGCAAAATGTAAATAAAGCGTTACATGCGCACTTGTCACGGTGTACTCACCCGGGTGGTGCTCAAATAGAGCTCCTCCAGCGTCCGCTCGTGCTGCCAGACCTCCGGGAAGTCGGTGAGCGGGGTATTGCTATAGTCCAGCTTGTCGATCACCTCCTCGCGCTTGAACTTGAAGCAGGGGAAGCACTTGCTCAGCAGCGGCATCTTCTTTGGGTTGGGTTTCGGGGTTTATTGCTTTTCTTTCGTTAATAATAAGGCACGGGGGTTTCGCTGCTGCCAACGAGACAAAGCGTTACGTTCATCCGGATTATTGGGGTCACATAACCGTCGTGGCCAGACTCACCAGTGATTCATCGCCGCCGCAGTCGTCGGGGAACGCTATTCTTGGTCCTGCATTGGCATTTTTGGGCTTGTTATTGTTCTGCCAGGCCCACCAACACCAACACGCGCAGGCACACGCACACACACCCGCGAGTGAGTGTACACAAAAGAGGCTCCGCTGGCCTCTCTTTGCGCCCTTCCCGGCAAGCACACTCGATAAATTCGCGATTTTACTTTGGCTATTTACACATCATTCTTGGCTGGAGCGAGTGGTGTTTGTTTTGGCCATTGAATTGGCTTTTATTTAATGTTTTTCACTTTGAAAACGACAAGTTGCTTGCAGGTGTTAGTGTTGGAAAATGCCGAATGGGTTAGTGGTGGGCGAACGGTGAGGCACGGCGATTGATATCGATAGCAATAAACACTAATGAATTCAATATTTAAAAATATTTTAAAATTAAATGCAATCAAAAATTGTATTTTAAGTTTCATTATTGTCAAAGAATAGTAATTATTTGTTACATTAGTTTTTTATTCATAAAATAAAAGACTTGTTTAATTTTAAAGTTTAAATGATATTCTTAATTTTATTTCCAAAAATACAAAAATAAATATTTTTATATACTCCAAATTGATTAAAATTGTATTTTAATTTCTATTCAAATTCACATTTTGAATAACATCACTTATCATTTATCGATAACTTTGTTAAAATTAAATTTCCCATCCCCAGGGCCGCCGTTGCTGTTCAAATAAAAGCAAAGTCGGATGGCGTTAAAAAAACATGCAACCGGGCTTGCATTTTCGCTAAAAACGCTTCACCCTTTGCTAATTAATATTTGCTCTCCACTTCCTAGCTGCTATTGCGCTTAGGTAAACGCCGCCCATCCTCTTGTCTCGTTTCCTTTGGTTTCGTGCCTGGATTTGGTTTGTTTTATTTTGCTAACTCTTGTTGATAAGGCCGAGACTTGATGATAACTGAACAAAGTTCAAATAGGTTAATGCGAATTCCGGCTAAAATGGTCAATTAAATCCAAGCACAGACTTTGACTTTAAGCATCGAGAGCTCGTGTGTGTCGTCAGGTTCCGTGTCGTCTCGTCGTGCGGTGTGAAAATGATTCAAATACCCGCCTTCTTTCGGATTTTGTCGCTTTCAGTTTCGGTGCGTTTTAGCTATTTGTCGTTTTGCCGCGAAGCATTGACGAATTTACACTTCAAACAATTGTTAATTGCAAATACATAGGAGGTACGTAATAGACAATGTGCTTGTATTTGCAAGAGAAGAGTGCGTTCGCAGCCGTGCGACTATGGACGAGGGCTTAGTTTCGGTTTCAGAGTTGCGCGTTGCAGTTGGATCGCTCGGGGATTCCATATTCGAAGTGAGTGTTAAAATTATGTTGCAATCTTATCTCCGCGAAATTCGGGTTAAGCTCACACAGAGGATGATCTCATGAATAATTGTGAATTGCGGAGTGGCTAGACATAATTGTTTGTTGAATCATGGTATCAAAGTGATGTGACATTTAAATGGTTGCCCAGATTCGGATGAAAGGATAACGAATTTATGTTGAATACTTTGGTTTGAATAAAAGAATTATTTGTGAGGTTTCAGGATACCAAAACTTAAATAGGAATATAAGTATGATAAAAAATATATGTGAAGAAATAAAGGACATATAAAACTCTTGGAAACTTGAGATAAATAAAATTATGTATTAAAATGAAATCATTTATTCATTCATTTTAAATCCCATTCATAGTGGCTACACGTTTTAAAAGTATTATTACAATTTGTCTTAAAATTTCAAAGCCTTTAATGTGAATACTTTACTTTCAATTAGGCAAACATATGTGCATTACCAAGATCAGGGACACCACGAATTCGTTAAACTTTAATGCCAACATAAAGTATGTCACTCTAAAGAAAATAAAAGGTTGTAATCTTTAACCTTTCACTTTATTTGGACTTACAAAATTTGTTTAAGTTTCCCCCTTTTGAAGTTTCTGTTTCCCAGCACTTTGAATTGTAAATTTTACAATGCTTGTTCTATGGGCAACCCCGTCTTCCAAAAGTTTACATTTAAAATTAACAAACGGCTGTTAGACTCTCACGAGCAATTATGAACAAATAGGTTGAAGCTAATTGCTGGTAACCAGAAAGCATTTCCATTTATAAATTGTGACACTTTCCTTGATCTTGGAGGAGTTAGAAGGAATATATTGGGATAAAAAATATAACTTTGATAAGGTTTTTATTTATTTCTTTTAGTGGGAGGTCTTTATTTTACCTTTACCTAGTTTCTAGTTTTATCTAAATAATAGTCTTTTTAATAAAAACACTTCCGTGGGAACAAAAAGATATTCAAACACCTGTCGACAGTGCCACATGCAAGACTTTACCAAGGGGTGATAAGTTGGGTTTACAAGAAAAACATATAAGTTACAGATTTTCTAATTTAAAAAAAAGGAAAGTTAGGATCATGAGCAGGACAGCTACATAAGTAAAGACAAGACAGAAAGTAAATTTGAGAGCAAGATATCAGTAGACCTGAGTGAACAAGCGAGCAGGATGAACAAGTAAACAAGTGAGCGAGTAAGCAGCAGAGTGAATAACATAATTTATTTAAAAGATTCACCCATAGCATGCACCACCCACAAAACAGACAAGCAAAAGAGAAAAAACCAGAAACCAGAGAGAAAACATCGAAAGGGAGAATGCCACCCCCTTTGGTGCTTGCCACCCCTTAGTGTACTCTCTTCTGGTGGGCGTTATTCCACCCCCTGAGCGAAACGGTTATACACAGCGGTTATGAATAGTTTTTTTTTATTGCATCACTTTGGCGAGATCTTAGCTTGATCGTGTTAGCTTGATTTTCTCCCCATTCTCCATTCTCCAGTCAGCACACACGTCTTCAGTTTACTTCTTCTTGCCCTTACCCTTTTTGGAGGACTTGGCTTCCTTGGCGGCTGGTGCATCCGCTGTGGCCTCTGCCATGGATGTGGAAGTGGCAGGATCAGCGGTGAGCTTCTTACTAGCAGCATCCACACCTCCCTTCTTGGAAGCCTTAGCCGAGTCCTTTTTGGAAGGCATTCTGAAGGGTAGAGGGAAAAGGATATTATAATTTGAAGAAATGTAAATTCAGAATTCAAAACTATACAAATTCCTTACTTTTTTATTTCCCTAAACAAAATTTGTGGAGAAAATCACAAAGAGCCGAATACGGTCTTAATCGCCTGAGATGTCGAAATAAAATGAATTTTCAGGAAAACCTAGGCTTCCTTTTCAATATTAAACAGCATATAATTCAAGGCTTACTTGAGATATTTTATTTTTTAAATTTAAAAAAATCAAGGCTTGCTTTTTTGAATTTTCAAATTTTAAGTTTACTTCATTTTTTAATTTTAAATATTCTTCTGCGAAACGGTTAATGGCTTTGCTTGTGCTTTTGGGGGCGGCCTTCAGTTCTCTGAGCATTTTCCTTGTTTTCCGTATTTTCCCCTGATTTTCTCTTATGCTCTCTCTCCTTACTCACTATCTCTCTCTCCGGCCGGGGTCCCCTTATTCCGATTTTGCGTGCAGTTGAGAAAACGTAACCAAAGAGCGCGCACCGCGGGCCGCATAATTTTCTAGTGCATTTTGTATTAAGTAATTTTAGTTTCTAGAGCAATAAGCTGTATTAGCAAACTGTATTTAATTATTAGCTAAATACAAATCAATATTCCAAAGGAATTCCCCCAATTAACCCGGCAGGCCACGCATTTCCTGACGCAGCAAAAAAAGATTAAAGAGAGTAGCACTGATTATCGATTTTGTGCCCATGTGTGAAAGCGTTTGACAAAAAAATTAATAAAAAAGCCTCTGCCAAACCGACGGGCTGTGCAATCCCCTAGCTAAAGTATTCCCATATCCACAACCCTCGACCCAAAGCCGGCAGGTGCAATAAATACGCGACATGGCGGCCAAGCGGAATGCCGTGACCACGGAAGCTCCGGAATCGTCGGCGGCGCCCGGCGAGGGAACCCTGCTGGCCCTGGACCCGCGCCTCTCGAAGCGCGTGGAGAGCGTCATTCCCAAGAAGCGGTGAGTTTAATTTAGTAAAAATTACAACCAGAAATGTCACAAAAATGGCTCCAAATATACAACCCAAAATATTTATATACACTGAAAAAATCAACCTTATTTACTTCATTCATTAATTCGCTTTATTTTTTTAAAAGGCTAAACTTTAACTATTTGAACTTTTTACTAAGCTATATTAATTAAAAAATATAATAGTTTTTAAGTGGGCAATTAAAATGCTATTTAATGTATAAATTTAAAATTAGTTCTTTAAAGTTGAGAAATTCTGTTGCTATGATTTGTTAAGCTCTTCCAAGAATTAAAAATATTTTAAAACTGATAACATTGGTCTTATTCTTAGAAAAATTTTTTGTTGTATATGTTTAAAGTCATTAAATTGCAAATCTTTTTTAATCTATAAAATTTCTGTTGTTATTTTCTTGGAATTATTTACTATTTTTTTTATAAATATTTGAACTGATAATCTTGAATCTGTAATCTGTACAGTTGTTCATATTCTAAAAAAAAAAATGAATTTATTAAGCTTAAGTTAAGACATTTATTACATTTTGATGTCTGTAATATTTAAAATATTTTCTAATCTTTTTCATTTATTTACCAAATACTAAATGTTGAAATACTGGGTTTTTATTTAGCTAGAAATAATTTTACAATATATACAATTTATACATATATAATTTTAACTTTATAAACAATTAAAAATTAACATTATTTTACAAACGAAATTAGTTTTTAATTAAATTCTTTTTAAGTTCTTGGACTAGGTTCCTAAATATGCATTTAGTCTCTTCTTTGAACCCACTTTTATATGTAAATAAATTGTTCAATTGTTCTCCTATGTTTCTCTCTAACTAATTAAGTATTTGTCTTCAAAACTAATGCTAATTTTATTTTATTTATCCGGCACAGCCATGAGGCCCTGAAATGGTTTGGCTGGGGCTACAACGACTCTCAGTTTTACGGAAAGGATGGCGTCATCTGTTTTCGCGGCGACAAGTAAGTGACTCTTCAAGGGAATTGCACTATCAACTGTAGCTTATAATTATCCCCAATCCCTTATAGATATCCCCTTGCTGGTTGCGAGCTGCCCGGCTTCACCAAGTGGGTGAAGGACAGGTTCCAGCTGTCGGTGGATCCCGGCAAGCCGTATCCCCAGCTGCCGCAGTCCTTTCCCCGCCCGGTGGAGAATGCTCCCTTCCTTCGCGAACTGAAGGGTACCACCAAGGTGGATCACTCGCTGGAGGGCATCGATAGGCTAGTGCGTTGCCATGGCCAAACCCTTAATGACATATACAGCCTGTGGCACCACAAGTTCAACAGGATTCCCGACCTGGTGGTGTGGCCCCGCTGCCACGACGAGGTGGTCCAGCTGGTGCGTCTGGCCCACAAGCACAATGTGATGCTGGTTCCTTTTGGAGGGGGAACGAGTGTCTCGGGGGCCGTGACCTGTCCCCAGAATGAGTCTCGAATGATCTGCGTCCTGGACACCTCCCAGATGAATCGCCTGCTCTGGCTTAATAGGGAGAACCTCACCGTGTGCTTTGAGTCTGGAATTGTGGGTCAGGATCTGGAGAGGGTCCTGAGGGAACAGGGCCTGACGGTGGGCCACGAACCGGATTCCTACGAGTTCAGCACCCTGGGCGGCTGGGTGGCCACCCGTGCCTCTGGGATGAAGAAGAATGTCTACGGAAATATCGAGGATCTGGTGGTGCGCGTCAGGATGGTGACACCCACTGGTACTCTGGAGCGGGAGTGCAGTGCACCGCGCGTGAGCTGCGGACCGGATTTCAACCATGTGATCCTGGGCTCCGAGGGCATGCTGGGCGTCATCACGGAGGTGGTGCTAAAGGTGCGACCCCTGCCTCCAGTGCGGCGTTACGGATCCTTGGCCTTTCCCAACTTTGAGGAGGGTGTGCTCTTCATGCGCGAGGTGGCCCGAAGGAGATGTCAGCCCGCCTCCGTCCGGCTAATGGACAACGAGCAGTTTATGTTTGGCCAGGCTCTGAAGCCGGAGAAGAGCTGGTGGGAGGCGGTCAAGGATGGACTGAAGCAGCGCTACGTTACCTCTTGGAAGGGCATCGATCTTAGCCAGATCTGTGCCGCCACTTTGCTCTTTGAAGGAGAGCTGAAGGATGTGCAGCGTCAGGAGGCGCTCATCTATGAGATTGCAGCACAGTTTAAGGGTTTTCCAGCGGGCGCCCAGAATGGAGAACGTGGCTACATACTGACCTTTGTGATTGCCTACATCAGGGTGAGTTTCAAGCTAGGTTTATCCTTATAAGGAATTTATTTTGATTTCCATTTTCTCCACAGGACTTTGGCCTGAATCAGGGCATTGTGGCCGAGTCCTTTGAGACCTCTGTGCCCTGGGATCGCTGCAGTCTGCTCTGCCGCTCAGTCAAGCATCGCTTGGCCACGGTAAGTGACTGGGAATACTCTGTAGATCTCTCTCTAAAATCCTTTTCTTGATCCTTATTCAGGAGTGCCATAAGCGCGGCATAACTTTGTACATGTCCTCGTGTCGCGTGACCCAAACCTATGATTCTGGCGCCTGCATCTACTTCTACTTTGGTTTCCGCTGCGTGGATGTGCCTAATCCCGTGGAGCTCTTCGAGGCCATTGAGCACAGTGCCCGCGATGAGATTTTGTCCTGTGGAGGATCCCTCTCCCATCACCATGGCGTGGGCAAAATCCGTACCCATTGGTACCGGGATGCTGTCACCGAGACGGGCAGCTCCTTGTTCTCAGCAGCCAAGCGGCATCTCGACCCTAAGAATATCTTTGCCCTGGGGAACCTCTTGCCCCTGGAGGAGGAGGAGGATCATCCGAAGATTGAAGCCCTGCCAGCTTCATCATCAACACCACCGAAAGCCAAACTGTAGAGCATAGAGTTCATCTTAGTCCATGTCCTAGTCTTAGTCTCTAAACTGATTTCCTAGTCGCTCTTGGGGGTCTCTTTCTATACCAACTTGTTCGGGTATTCAGTGCTTTTGTAGCGGGCTCATGTTTTCTATGGGTTTTTTGATAAATAAATGGAATATTTACGTATTTGTATAATTAAAAATGCTTTATTTTACGAGCTTGATTTAGTTTTTTTCCCTGTGTAACCCTGACCATAGACACACATTGGATTTGCTTCTGCGTGTCCCGGCCAACTGCCGATCATTGTCTTCTCATCTGCTCATCGAAGTCATTTGCGGCTTGATGGCGCACCGTCCTGGCCAAAGCTGAAAGAGCCAACGTCGAAGATTGGAGCGCCCAGAGCCAGGAGATCAAATGTCATCAAGTTGTCAACTTCGTTAGCATGCCACAAGGCAGCGATCGGAGCTGGGCTTAAAGATCTTTCTTGGTCTGGCTGAATGGCTTGGGACACTGCAGGAAATTTGTTAGTTATAGCAAAGAATAAATTTTAAATTAATTATTTAAAAACTTTTATATGGAAGAAGAAAGAAAGCTAACTTTGTGAAGCCAAAGCCTTTGAAGTGCCCGGGGATTTCAAATAATTTGTCTAAAAGCCTAAAAGTTATCTTTATAAATGGTATTAAACTATTAATTATAATTATTTAATGTTGAATCTTCTTTAAGTTTTTTATATACAATTTAAATATTTAATTATTATTATTATTAAATAATGAAGTTTTTTCTCACCGTGCTACCAAAAAAGGTGGAATGAGCTCCTTATTGATGGCCCAGGAGAAGTCGTCGACTTGGCCTGTCTTGTTACCCTGGCAATGGATACGGATACTGCACGTATGCTATATAGCATACGAGTATATACCCCCCAGTACACACACACACACACACACACACTGCCAGCCTATAAATAAAGATTAAAATCAGCAAAAAAGAAGAAGAAGTAAGCAAAAGAAGTCCGTCTAAGTCCCCGTCCTCCTGGAAATTGTCAGCAATTAACCCGCGGGTCACTCCCGGAAAACGCTTGCAGTCCTGCGTTCTTCGTCCAGTCGCCAGATTCCAGACTCTGTGATTTATGCCACCAAGTATAAGGTCCAAAACCCACAATCAAGGCCAGCGGGGGGTTGGAGGATGAAGAAGACTAAGCGGAGAATTACAATCCTGACACGTTCGCCAGGCGGAAAAACAAAGACAGAATGCTCTTCTACCTGAGGGAGATGGACATAACTCATTTGCATTGAATGAAAAGGAATGAAGGTGAGGAATTCCAGATTATGAGAAAAAAAGGAGAGAAGAAAAATAGAGGAACCTCTCTTGAGAATCCATAACAAAAGGATTTTAATATATTTAAAGATCAAGCGATTAGTAAAAGTAGAATAAGATTTAATGAAAGGTTTGGCATCATTGGGAAGGGTTTTAAAATAATTAAAATATGTTGGGGAAGGCTTTAAGTTATAGTTTTATAAAATTTATTTTATAAATAATATATTAATAATATTTTCCAGACTCGTAAATATTTTTCCCTCAATAAAAACCTGCAACATTGCTCCTAACAAGCCATGTTTCAGCAACATGCTGCTGCTATCCAGTTGGCAACACAAACAGCATTGCTGCCTCTGCTGCTGCTGCTGCTGCGTTTAAGCCAGTTAACCCATTAAAGCCTGCTATGCCGGCGTCGGTATTTTACCTGGGCTTCGTTACCGAGCGAATTGGCACCTGGCATTCAGTTGCGAGCAGCGCGGCGAGCGAACAACAACGAAAAACTCGGTGCGACGCGATTTGAATTTATTTGTATTGTGTTCGCTAGAACCCAGAGAATCTCTCAGAGAAATACACAGAGATCTCTGGAGGGAGAGATCTCTAGAGAGAGGGAGATCTGGCCGGGAATAAACATTTTCCTGGCAGCTGCACAAAACTCCGCCGCTGCAGTTGCAGTTCGCACGCGACGCTTGCCACAACGTGAGGCGCACTTCGAGTTGGATTTTCATTTGGCTTTTCTCGGTTTTCCACTACGTGTTTTATTTGTGCTGTTTGTGTGGGAAAATGCGACAAATTATCCGGCTTCGTTCATTAAAAATACAACGTTTTGTTGCTGGTAATTGAGCGGCAGCGGCAGTTGCTTTTGTTTTGCCTTTAAAAGAGTGAAACAGGTGCGTGAACCAAAACCGAATCGAGTTGTTACACAAAAAAAAAAGCGAAATATATATAAAAAACAACCACCAAAAAGAGCAGCAAGCATAACTTGGCTTCTATAAAAATCTAAAAATCATTAAAAGTGCATTAGTTAAGCCAGGCTTTCCAAGAAAACTCATCTCGCAGAGGCAGAAGTTCTAAGGCCTTTCATCAGTCAGCCCAGCAGTCCGTCAGTCCGTCAGTCTGTCAGTCTGTCAATCTTAATGCACCTGCAATGACTCGTTAAAAACTCTATAGTATATAGCTCTGAGATGCCCCCTAATGCCTTCCGGACCTCGCTGCCATTAAAGAGAAACAATTTCGCACTAAAAACCAACCCACGTCGGGTGGCCAAAGTGCTTTATAAGACCAACAGCCCATAAAGTGATCTCGAAAGAGTCGGCAGAATGCGGAATGTATGATAATAATAAAAAAATATATACATACTATACATATATATCTGGCAAAAGGCATACGTTTTTTGGTCAGTTTGGAGTTTGGCTGCAACGCCAACGCAAAATTCTCTGGACTTGCGATATTTGGTTTATGAGTTCTGTCATTTCGTGTGAGTGAGTGGGTGGTTAGCTTGGCTAAAACCTGGGGTTTTAGGCTAGTTCTAACCTTGGAATGCCTTGAGAGATTAGGATTTTTTTATTTTGCCACTCCAAGTGTGGTTTATGGAGCTTCAGCTGGGTTTAAATACGTAAATTTTAAGTGTTTACAGAAAATTACAGTCTTATAATTTCAGAAAAAATTATATAAATTATTTAAAATATTTTTTACCATTTTAAAACCCTTTTCTAAAGTTTAAAATCGAATTTATATAATATCCCAATGTTTTTTTTTATATTTTCTGAGCTTTGATAATTCCAAGAATGCTCTCATCCGTATGTGTCAGCAAATCCTCAGCCATAATTCATCATACAAAGTATCCCCTTTTTTTTCCTGTTGTTCTTACCATTTTGCATAAATGTCCAAGTCATGTCTCGGGGCCGTAAAACGTGCCTTTAATTTATCTAATAGATATTTGAACTGCCCATCACGGGGGGCGGCTGACGTGGAACAAATGTTGGCCATTTGACTGCATGTTCAGCATAAATGAGGCATTGAGCCCCAAAGGCAGCAACAATAATCGTTGTTTTAACCCTTTTCAGTTTGGCCGAAAAGGAAAAATGCTGCCAAGGCGCACTTAATTAACATGCAACTGGCAATGTTCGCGTAAACAAAAATGAAAACAACAACGACGACAGCCACGACAAGTTAACGACAACAACAAAACACGTTAAAAAGTGCAATCAAAAATTAAAAAAAAAAAAAAATCACAAATAACGAGGAAAACGTGAAAAACAAAGCAAGAAAAGGTCTCGTTTCTTCGCCAGAAGGTGACGACGATCGGTCTAAGTTTCGCCAATCAGTCAGCTAATGATGCTGCGACCGGGTGCTGCGACTGCGGATTCGCCCCGCAGCTGCTAATTAAACTGCAGCAGCAACTTTTAACAGCAACGACGATCCACAGCAATTACGGCGGCCACAGCAATAACATCCAAGCATTCTGGTATCAGCGGAAAATAAACCATAATGTGAGTATACTTTGGAAAACATGACCCAAGACTGAAGCTCAATAAAGCCATAATTACAGCGACATTTAGGGGAGATTCGCGTCCTTTTGTGGAGTTTTTTGTTGTCTTAAAAATACTATTCTCACCATCAATCCTCGTACAATATATTATCCTCAGACTTTGAACTAGTTGAAAGCTTCCTCTTTAATATTTAAATTGAATATTGTTATTTTTATATTAAAGACTAGTATCTAAAGGGAACCTAAGCTAATTCTTAATCATAAATATATCCTATACATCTTACCCAAATACCTGAAAAAGGTTCACTATCCCATATCGATGCGTCCATTGCCTGCCATTTGGCTTTCTTTCCGCCTGCTGCTGCTGTTGCAGTTACAGTGGCAGCAGCAGTAGCAGAAAACAGCAGTAGCAGCAGCAGCAGCCACCCCATCGACTTTCTAAGCCAGTTGCCAATTTAGTGCATTTGGTGCTGATTTGGCCCGAGCGGCGGGAAACGGGAAAACTGGCCAAAACTGGCACTTGGTTGTCGCCAATTGTTTGCCATTGGGAAGATCTCTCAGACCGAGGCCCCAAGCAGCAGCCGGAGGACCGCAAATTGTGCAGATTGCAGAGACTCCAGACAAAAAACAGACGCAGTTGGAGGAAGACTGGGTCGCGTGTTTGACACAAATGCCGCGAATAGTTTTGAAGGCGGTTTGGCCCCACTGCGATTTATGGTCAAGACCAGCGTTGACTTGTGCAAACAAGAGTTGTGACTGGGTTTTGTATTTGTGTTTTGTGTTTTTTCCTACCATGTTTCTCTACTTCTTGGCTTCCTGTGACTGCGCTGATTGCGTTTTAATAAGCCTGGCCAAGATACCTTTCAGCCATTTGGTTGCATGCTAGGTTTAAGTAGCAGGAAAACCAATAATCAGCCAAAGACAAACACAGCAACACGCAAACAGAGAGAGAAGTTGGTCTGGCTAACTTGGCTCTCGTGCCATTCCGGCCAGGCAATGGGTCAGCATGGGTTAAAGTTGCCCAGCCATGATGGCCTCCGGGCTAATACCACCGATATCTATTGAGTGAAATCTCGCCTTCGATTGTGTTTTGCCTTTCAATGAGCTGAATAACCAATGCCAGACAATTGAAAGAATGCTTCTGATCTTGTGTATAAATAAGTGAATATAAAGGCATAAAGAGAATTGTGGTTTTTAAAAGATAATTGATCATTTGTGAGAGATAAAATCTTAGATGAGGAAAGTATCTTTAAGATACTTCAGGGTATCCTGATTTCAGTCAAAAGCTTGCAAAGCAGTGAAGAAGCCATTTCCGATCCTATAAATCATATATATTCTTGATCAGCATCACCAGGCGAGTCGATCTAGCCATGTCAAAAGAAAAAATTTTTTTTTAGAATTTTTTGAAAATT